TAATGGGCGGGGGGGGGGGGGCGGAATCATCTGGTTCTGGGGTATCCGTTAGTCTTGAGATCCCGAACCAAGACTACGGCACATGGCCAGAAGGGAAGACGGGTAGATGAAGTGCCTAAGTGATCATGAGCTGTGGAAGTCACTGTTTTCTGGTGGACTGAACTTTGTAGTTACCTCTAAGCGCAATTCCAGTCATTGACATGGGAACAGAAGCTGAGTCAGCCAAGTGTTGGACCTGAATGCCACGGGAATAGGTTGAAGCACTGTGTGTAGAAGTAACCATCGCTCTCAGTGTCCTAATCCCTACCAGCGCTACCAACAGCTGTCATCGAAACATTCTCAATGTCTTGCCAGGGATTGTTAAATTTGTAGCCACTTTTTGTGGACTTTCATGGACTAAATTGCATCACAGATCATGAACTTTGTTCCATGCTCCCAGAAGCAGCATTCTTAAGGATGAAATGAAGTTCATGTTAATTATTTATAGAATCAAGGACATTATGATAGAATGTACAGTATAATGTAAAAAGTCTATGAACAAATGTACGTGTTGCTCAGGTTAGTAAGTGTTAGTCATGTTTGATCCTCCTGTGTCAAGTTTAATCTTTGTTATGGTGCTACAATTGTTTTTTATGAAAATATTTTAGTTGCACAGTAAGCTAGTGTATTTTTAAGATGTCTGGTTTTTGTTATGGTGCCACGATTGTTATATTGAAGCTGCACAGTAAGCTAGTCTAATTGTGTTATGGTGCTACGATTGTTATATTGAAGCTGCACAGTAAGCTAATCTAATTTTGAGATGTCTAGTTTTAAGATAAGTTAATTTTTCTGTGGCCTTGCCGATGTGGACCTGCGGGATGGAGCTGCCTGGAAATGTGGTGTGAAGACTTGTCGACTGCTGCCCAGCCATGTCAGAGACCCCTGCAGCAGTATAATCTAAAGACTGGATAATTCAAGATTTCCTTTTTCGTAAGTTGAACATCTAGTTACGATAAGTTGATCTAGTTGCAGTTGTCTCATTTAAGATAGGTTGTAGTTGTCTAGCTAGATTTTTAAGATTGCAATGTCTAGGTTTTTAAAATTATTTTTGATAGGTTGCATTTTCTACATAATTCTACATTGTAAGTAAAGCCTTTTGTTCTCTAGTTACAATAAGTTGATATAGGCGTTTTCTTTTACAAAATGTATCAACAAATATTGACGTTGCCAAAGCATAAAAGCATTGTAAGAGACGAATATAGATTGTGTAAAAGAAAACTACTAGTATATCTTGTAATCATCTAGGTTTAAGATTAGTTGCAGTTGTCTAGTTTAAGATAGGTTGAAGTTGCCTAGATTTCTTTAGATTGCAATTGTCTATTTTTTAAAAGATTTTTTTAGAAGTCTTTTGTTCTCACTAAGCCTATATTTTTGTGTATTTCGCTTCTACTCTAGTACATGTAGTGGCCACCTTGTCCTAGAGTAGATCCAAAATATATGAATACATGGGCTAATTGAGGGCAAAGGTCTTTCCCTATTAAGGCTCTTGGGTATACCGGTAGTAAAAATAAACTTTTAGTGCTAAGGTATTGTTTTAATTTTGTAAAACTGTAGTAAAAATAAACTTTTAGTGCTAAGGTAGACATGTATTGTTGTAATTTTGTAAAACTGTATTTTGACAATGTCAGACACAACCTGAGCAACACACTGAACACTTCAACAATAAAGAAATAAAAACCTGTCATGTGTTTTTTTTTTTTATTATCTTCAGCAGGTGCATGGGTAGGCTTTTGAGATCTTGCAATTCAGATTCTCAGTAGTGGCTAGTTTGGTACTGCAGTGGAAGTTTTGTTTTGAAGTATGGTTGTGATCTAGTCAAGCTTGAGAAATGACATGAGTTTAGCCCCCCTAAGAGCTTGTTCTGAAACTGCAGTGGTGTTAATCTTGAAGGATATCTCAAGAAACGGAAAATGGGTTGTTGTAGGTAACAGTTAACATTTTGTAGGCTACGCTTAAGTGATATTTAACACAATTGGCTGACTAGTTTTTTTTCTATTTTATTCGAAAATAATCATCCCTGATTGGTTTTATCAGCTACCTTCACAAGAGACTTGCTGGAGTTTAAAATCACGTGGTTACACGGTAAAAAGTTCAATGAAAATATATTAAACTAGAGTTCCACGATCTCATACCTTCGCCAAATGATGTTAGCTTTTATGATTAAGAAATTATATATTAATCCCCCTAATTATGCAAATAGGATCCTCAATTGCATGAATTATATCTGTTGATCATATTCTCCACCAAAAGACAGTCTTATCTTAACAAAGAATGCCATGATGAAATTTTCTCATAAATTATGCAAATGAGGTCCTTATTTGAATAAGTTATGTTTAATTATGTTCACCTTAACTTAACTTTCAAACACCCCAAGTGTAAAATTCCAGGCAGTTACCACTATGCAATTATAATATTTTCTCATTAATTATGCAAATTAAGTCTTCATTTGCATAATTGATATCTACCTGTGTTTCTCTCATTCTTAATAACATATGTCACAAGCTTGAACTTCCTATTATGGAATGCAGCTGATAAATAGAATTTCCTCATTAATCATGCAAATTACATCTATATTTGCATAATTGTAATATCATTATGTCAAGCATCACTCAAGCTACCTACATACCAAAAATCACGATGATCCATCCATCTGTTCTTGAGTTATCCCCCTTTAAACATTTGTCCATTAAACCCCCTGCAGTTCTAGAGCAAGCAACTAGGGGGCTCAAAGTCATGTCACTTTATCCCCAGCACAAGAGCTATCTACCATCTAAATTTCGTCACCCTAGCATGTCTGGATCATGAGATATCAAAACCGGAAGTTCTGCTGCAGTACCATGACAAGCCGCCAGGTGGCCCAAAATCTAATCATTTTGAGGTCTCATCAAGACCTACCCGCCTACCAAGTATCAAGACAATACATCAAGACCTTCTCTAGTTATTGTGTTGACAGACAGACACACACACACACACACACACATACACGAACGCCCCTGAAAACATAACCTTCTTGGCGAAGGTAATGACTGTTTGGGTAATCAGGTATCATTCATAACCTTTGACCCAGATATTGTGTAAGGTCAGAGGTGACCAGTTGTTTACGAAAGAGGTGCCAGGCACACACTTCCTCCAAAAACAGTTTCCTGTCCTCTCCAGCTTTCTATCGTAGTTTGCCATTTGTAACGTGAATCTACAGCTTTGACGGGAAATTAATCAGTTTTATAAGTGACAAAAATGCATCCGTCCGTGGTGTTTTTGGCGCTGACAGTGTTTGGTGCGATGGAATGGAGTGTTTCAGCAAGGATCGGCCTAAGTGCTCAGCAGGTACGCAACTGTTGGTAAATTTACCCAGATGTATACTTGATATTCTTGTATCTTACTAAGCTCAATCTTAAACTTGTTGAAGGTTACTAAGCGCTGTGCTGTTGATTCCGGAAGGATGATAGTATACAGTAATCTCCAAGCAGATCTTTCGGTGGCAAGACAGTATCCATTGGCCAGAGGAGTGTCCATTAGCCATGGACA